ATTTGATATTTTTGGTATTGTGTTTCTAACTCGAATCAATAGCACTCTTGTCTTTGCCACTGATACTTGGCTGCACTTCACCACGAAAACGGTCAATTTCTTCCAGGTCACGCCAGCCTTAGACGCTTCAGACCTGAGTTTCGGTGTCTACGACAACTGTACTGATGTCACCGAGACCAATTTCTTCGGCTGCAACATGGACAATCCCGCGTCAGGTGCAGTCCTAATGAGTTCTATTCCAATCGAGGTGCTTTCCAACATCTCCACCACCATGCTGGTCCAGACCCATACAGTTGGAAACGATCAGTTCGCCTACCTTGTGAACGCGCAGCTTCCTCGGCTGGCATCTATCGACTACAGCGCCAGGTCATATGCCGTGCGATCTCAATGCAAGCCTGTTACGAGTGACTGTATGAGTTATTTGGATGTCTATGGCGTGGGCACGGATTACCATTGCCCCTTTGCATTTCAAGGCACTGCAGACACAAGCGTGGGCTCGTCGAACTCGGTCACCATGGCCTACTTCACCGATTCTTCTGGCAGCAACAACAATACCGATACGAATGCCATAGCCAACCCTTACTATTATGCTGCTGTCGCTGTCGTGAACATGCGAAATGGCCCTTCCTTGGCCTTGCTAAATGACCCGCAGATTTTGAAGGGCGGCCACGGGGGCTCCACCATCATCGCACTCTTCTGCCATTCAATCGTCTACGACCTCGAATATACGTCTGTCAATGGTACCATCACCCGCTTCGTCACGACTCTGAGCAATAGTTCCGTCACGAACATTCTCCAAGGCACTCAGAGACTCACGCAGGCTGGCGACGCGAACCTCGTTCAGGCCGCAAGTGTTGCCGGCCTAGGGGATTCGGCTCAGGCAATCTCGAACCAGTTTGCGCTGTCCTATAGTCAAACAGCGCTCGCTGTTGCCTCGGGGGCCTTTCAACCTCTCCCAGCGCTTGAGTCACAGTCACGCGAAACTATGCTGGTTGCGCGCGTGCCAAAGGCGCCGTTGGCATGTTTGCTGGCTTCCAACCTCTCGCTAGCAGTGCTGGGGATCGTGCTCACTGGGGTAGCAGTCTTGTGTGGCAGCGGTGAGACGAATGAAGTTCAGGCGCGATTGAGCATTCCCGCGCTTGTGGCATCACAGTTTGAGGAGGCGAGGGTTCACACTCCGGTGGAGAAGGTGGAAGACATGTTCGAGGAGGGCCATGGAAAGCCGGGGCCGCGCATTGGCTTTGTAAGGTCGCCGCAGGGTGCTTGGATTTTCAGCAGTTGGCGCCCAGCGTAATTGACAATGCAAACCTCTATGTGAGTTTGCTCAAACCGGACACAGCCAACTATTAATCGAAAAACAATGGTAAGTTACAGAGAGGCATTACTGCATTAGCTTTATTGTACCTCCCTTGGTGCAATCTTGTTATCAAGATGTCGATTTTTCGTTGATTTCGCTGGACAATACGGCCTGCCAAAGCAAATTCTCGAGGAACGTGGACCTCCCAAGACCCAGCGATATACTCATGGTCGAGAGAGAAACTTCTCGCAACCTGTCCAAGAAGGTATTAGCGTACGAACCGTCGTTTCGCACGAAATGGCGGAATAGGTACCTCGTATAGCCATTGCACGGTGATCGTTTTCCGAGAATCGCTAGTGACGGGCCAGGCTGATGTAGATTGGCACGTGGCTGGCCGCCTAGAATACTGGGAATAATGCATGGCACCGGTTACCAGTCTTGCCGCCCCCAGATCCTCCAGATTTTCTTCGCATGCCTCACTTCTGGGATAGTGTTGGGTCGCCAATGATGCGAAAGGGGTTGGACAATATCCTGCTCCGGTGACCAAATGCCGACCCTCTTCGATTTAACCTGTAAGCTCTTAGATGACCCTCCTTTCTCCCTTTCTGCTTGACCAGGGAGTCTCAATACACGTGTTCTCACACCTGGGTCACTAATCTCGACGGAACTATCATGGCAGAAGCAAAGAGAGACACAAGTGTGCAACATGACTCTGATAAGTCGACAGAGCATCAGGCCGTCGAGCAAGAGATCAAGCTCAAGTCCGGAGACGTAGTCGAGGAAGTGGGTTCTGAGGAAGAGGACCCGGTCGTGACTTTCAAGACCTGGATCGTCGTGGGTGTGAGTGGATATCACCATCACATGGATGATTGCGTCTGACAAACTGGACAGATATTGTCCTGCGGCTATGGATTGTCTTTCTGGCCGATTCCAGTCATGGCAAACATCGGCGGCCTCATTGGTGAAGAACTCGGCGCCCCATCCAAATACATCTGGTTTATTCCTGTGAGTACCACCTGAATCTAATGTTACACGAGGAACTTACTGACATGGTTTAGTCCTGGACGATATCGATCACAGTTTGCTTCATGCTATGGTATGCAATTTCCTGTCCTATCGGACCCCCTGGAAACAGACAGTATACTGAAGACGTTAGTGGCGCAAACACTGACATGCTGGGTCGTCGATGGTTTTTGACCATTGGAAATCTGGTAAGTGCATCGGGGTCCTTTTCTCATTTAAGGAGGCAGCGCTAAAAATCAAACCAGATATGTACAGTCGGCCACATTGTCACCGCCTCGTCCAAAAACGCCAATGCCGTGATAGCAGGAATGGCCATCTCTGGGTTTGGTGGAGGGAATTGTCAGGTATGAATCCTTGACCGCAAATTTCTCAGAGAAAAAGGGACACATTGTGCTGAAAACAGGACACAGATGGCTGCATTTGCACTGCCCGAATTGCTCCCGAACAAATGGCGCCATATCGGCGTTGTCATTGCTGATTTAACAACCCTTCTGGCTGTGATCCTGGCACCAGTTACCGGATTGTACGGCTTCCATTCAGACTCTTGGAGGTGGAACTTCTACGCCGCCGCAATCGCCCAGTTCCTTTCATTTCTAGGCTTGCTCTTCCTCTATTTCCCACCAGCTCATCCGTAAGTATCCCGAGGTCATAAATCGATCGATCAGAGCCCTGACTTGGTGAAAGACATGGGCTTCCAGTCAGACAAGTGCTACCAAAAATCGACTACGTCGGTAAGATCATGGAATCTTCCAAACACAATATGCTCCATCAGAAGTTGCTGACAGCAGAATAGGCGGCGTCTTGTTCGTTATCGGCGCAGTACCGGCCCTCGTCGGAATGGTGTATACCACAGTTGTGCCGTCCAACAATGTGCATGTCATTGCACCTCTGGTGATTGGATTTTTCTTCATCGTATGCTTCGCCCTGTGGGAGACATTCTCGGGGATTGAACATCCATTGACCCCAAGGTATGTGTTCGCGTCCTCCTGGGGTCGCGACTTCACCGCTCCAGCCATCGCATTGGCCGTGGTGAACATGTTCTACTATTCGGGAAGTATTCTGTGGCCGACGATCGTCAACGTATTCTACACGAATGGCGGCGCAGACTGGCGTTACGGCATCGTTTTGTCCTTGCCCCAGGGCCTGGCCATCACCTTTGGCGCCGTACTCCTGTCCGTATTTGGCAGCAAAATCAGGAACTGGCAGTGGCAGTTGACCGGTTCGGTGTTCATCATGGTCCTCTTCGGCTCCCTGTTGGCGCTGGTGACACCCACAAATAAAGGACTGATGGTCGCATTCATATTTTTGTCTCAGTGTGCCTATGGCTGGGCGATCTACCTGTCCATTGCCGTTGCCCAGATGGGCGTTGAGCATAAAGATCTTGGCTTGAGCGGTGGCATCGCCGGTGTTTTCCGATTTGCCGCAGGTTCGAGTATGTGACTTTGAGGAGTTTCTGCTTGTGTTCCTAATACTGACCTGCCCGCAGTTGGGGCCGCTGTATACACCACAATCCTCACCAACGAAACGAACAAGGCGATAGCGAGGCTGGTTCCCGCAGCTGCTGTTGCCGCTGGCCTTCCACAGGCGAAGATCACGGATCTCTTAAGCGCCATTGGTACCCCAGCCCTGACCACAGAGTTCAGTCAAGCCGTGGTCCAGGCCGTAGATATTGCCTTAGACCAAGCCCATGTACACGGTATCCGGTAAGGGGCCTCTTTTTCCTAAAGCAAGAACAAAAACCACAAAAGGGAAGGAAAACACAATTCTGACAAAATCCTGACGTATCTCAGAATGGTTGCCTTTGCCTCGCTGGCATTCGGCATCGTCGGCATAATAGCCTGTATATGCTGCAAAGACGTCGATAAAAAGATGAATAACAAGGTATGCGACAACCCCTCTCCTCCAGTAGCCATGATGTGGGCAAGGGGAGAGAAAACTAACATGATTTACGTAGATTGAGGTGTATCTCGAGAACACAGAGTACGCAAGCAGGAACAAGTATCACTAGTGGGAACGGGGCCTGCAACGACCACAACAGTAACAACAACGACGACGAGAGGTTCTGGTTCAAGATATATAGCTAACTATCAATCAATCTATCCGTTCGTTGGACGTTGAGGGGGGGGAACGCACTCCCATGCATTCAGCCACGGAAACAGGAGGGATACCTAGTAACCATGTATCTAAAAGCCCCACAAAAATGAGTCCAAGTAAGCGAGGCGAAGAACACCGACGACCCCACGTGTTTGTGTTTCCAGACATGCACATTAGCGCAACATTCCATGCCACAAGCCACACGTTATATATAATAGAATAGCCTAATTCCAAAGTTCCGTTCTAAATCAGACCATCCCGCCGTCGACCAAAAAGTCTTGCCCGGTCGTGTAACTGCTGGCCTCACTCATGAGGTATAGCACCATTCCCGACAGCTCGTCCGGGGCTGCCAGCCGGCCCAGCGCGTTGCTCTCGAGGAAGAGTTTCCGCCTGCTGGGGTTCTGGCGCATCACGGATTCCAACATGTCGGTCTGCACGGTCCTGGTTTTCCTCCCGTGTTAGCCTGGGGAGACGTCTCGAGAGAGAGGGAAAACGTGAGAAAAGGGGGGGGGGGGGGGGTAATTTGTGTATGAGAGACAGAGGGGAAATAATGTAGATAGATAGATAGATAGATAGAAGTGTATATTTACCCTGGACTGATAGAGTTGACACGAATGCCATATTTGGCCAGCTCGTGCGCGACGTGCTTCGCGATGCCTCGGACGGCGTATTTCGACGCCGTGTACGCTGCGATTTCCTGCGGCGCCAACGACTTGTGGCCTGCCGTTGAGGCTATGCAGACGACTGTGCCGCCGGTCCCTTGCTGCACCATTTTCGCCGTGCAGTGTTGCACGGTATAAAATACTCCGTTCACCTGGCCCCATTTAGCATTAGTTTTCTTTCTTTTCTTTTTTCTCATAGCAAATAAAACGCCCCGGCCATTCGTGAGGAAGCATCGTCACATACGTTAACGTCCATGGTGTCTCTGAAATCCTTCTCCGTGTGTTCCAGGAACGGCTTGTCGCGAATGATTCCCGCCGCCGGTATGCTATTATCCAAAACAAGCGTTCATTGTCAGCTTCGCGATTCTCTAGGCCCGAAATATGTCTGAGCACAGGAGCAGGGCAGAACAGAGCGGGGAAAGGGAGGTTCTTGCCATCCATCAATACTCCCAAAATCCGCATGTATCCTATCGACCGTGTCTTTCAACAGCTGGTAGTCTACCACGTCGGCCCGGTAGTATTTGTACTTCCCGCCAAAGGGTTCCAGCTTGGCCATGTCCTCGGACGGGTGCTCATTGAGGTCGATCACCGCGATATTGGCCCCGACTTGGGCCAGCGTGTAGGCGAAGTTGAAGCCTAGGCCGCGCGAGCCACCGGTGATGACGATGTTCTTCCCTTTAAGGAGGAATTTGTTCAGGATCGAGGCCTCTGGGAACTGGCCTGCTTGGGACATTGTTGGGATTCACACGCAGTCGGAGATAAAGGGTTCTCGTTAGCTGGACTCTAAAACAATCTCTCTGCTCTTGTAGTGGAATGTAACTCTTGGAGTGACGATAGTAGGCCCTGTTTTAACTAGGCGAAAGAAAAAGGGTATTCATTATGATTATTAAAATTGTGAAGCTGAGCTAGATCTTGGAGAGGAGAGTGCCAGCAAGGCTCGGGGAATGATTGCCGAACCCTCCACTCTAGAATGAGTGAATGGAATACGGAAAATATGGCGGGCTCGTATTGTCCCATCTGAGTCCAAAGGGAGATAGATCTGGATTTGTCAAGTGTGAATGGCGTCAAATTCAGGTCAAGGAAAAAGCATTATCGAGAGCATACCCGTAGACACCCATGAATATTGTAGGTGTTTGGACCAACGCAGGACTCGACCGATTCAATATGGAAAGAAAACCTATCAATTTTATTACAAAGATTCTAAACTATACATGATGTCAAACTGCGAAGATATCGGAAGGAACTCGTCAATGCATAGAGGGCTGTATGCAGACAAGCTAGGAAGTCCTGTATGATCATCCGAGGGCTGGAAAGAAGTTCTCTCAGTCCCTGCGTCTTGGACGGCGAAGAACAGGCTGGCAGGGTTCCTGCCGACGTCGTTGGCCTGTTGGAAATCCAGATACTCGCTTTCGAAATGGCACAATCGCATGACAAGCTGGATGATGCGGCGCACTCGTCGAGCAACGATGTATGTTTTCTCCAGTTCGCCGAGTGTTCGCACGCAGGTTTTGAGGGCCGAGAATTGAAATGCCACATCCGCCGATCGCCTTTCCGCAATATCGGCAATCAAGATTGTAGATGCAGTCGCGATGACATGTAAAGCGACGCCGCTCAGGTTGGATGCATTCCCGTACATATTGCGATAATCTTGAAGAGCCGTGGCGATGTTTTTTGCATTGTCGATGCAGATCTGCCGAGATTTATTGCATTGGGCATCCATTTCCGACATCTTGACTCCAAAGTTTGCAGTTGGGCGATGCAAGTGGATTTTGCAAGAATAGTATTGCATGCTATCATCAACAGTCAATAGTCAATTTGATAATAAGGCCGTTGATGCCTTACTGAAGCACAAGAATCGATGCATGAGCTTCCTTGCAATACTGGAGCTCCGGGTCGAGATTTTGGTACCAATCTTGGAGCTGCTCATCAAGAGCGTGAAGGGTTTCGGTGTCGCATTGTTCTTCGTTCCTAAACACTCAGTACCGGCCGCTTCATACGGTCCTCGCGTAACTCACAAGGCGTCACAGATGCGGCCGACTGTCACGAGAAGAGTGACCCATGAGAAAGCAATTCTTTTCTCCCATGAAGCGCCATATTGGGTCAAAGAGCTACTTCGGAGCTCCGTATCTTCGCATTTGAGACAAGAGGGCCGGCCGAGGTAGAGTGCCCAAAGTCTTGGAAACACTGTTAGATTGCTGAGTCCTAGGAGCAAGTCCGGGTAGTTTACCTATCAAAAACCAAACAGCCCCAATAGGTAATTTGGCGTACTTTCATATCTCTTGGGGAAAAATTGGTGGATGCAAGCTGTTCTCCAGTTCTGTGAAGGCCAAGGTCAATGGCTAAACGACACGCATCACCTAGGAGACCAGCCGTCAATAGTGTTCAGGAAACCGTCGTGCCAAACATACCAGCCAGAAGCCAACCTTTGGTGTCCTTGCTCAATGAACAATGAATGACAGACAGGAGTAGAAGTGATTGAATGGTTGTTATTTGGGGTCTTTTGAGCTCTTGATCAACGAGTCTTGTAGCTGTGGCCACGAGAAAGGGCTCCTTGTCCTCCATGTCATCGTTGGAAGGGATTACCATGGCCCTTACGGGTGGTCGGTCTGATATTCGTGCAGCACAAGCATAGACGCAGTATAGGAGTGCTTTGCTGAAATACTTGGTCTGTCTCGTCCTCATACCTTCAAGGAACTCCTCTCGGTCAAATGCCTGAAGTACAGTGTGTTGGTATTTCCAGTAAGTTTCCAAAAGGTGCGTCTGGGTTTCTGGATCGATTGGATCGTCAAGACTGACATCGGCCGTCACGCTCCTTTGACACCACGGCCCGAGGAGCGAGGATGAGACGCTTTCGGTGAGATGCAAGCTCGAAGTTGGGCCGAAGAATTTATATTGACCCTCTTCGTCGCTATTCAGCTTCCATTGGCGGCCACAAAGCCGAGAGATTAGGTTGTCTTCTTCCTGGGATGGAATTGGCACTGATAAGGATGAATAAGTCGATGGAGTTTGCGGATTTGACACTGGCTGTCGCTTGGGGGCCGTCAAATTCTGCGTCTCTTTTGCTGATTCAAGAGCAGCTTCAAGATCAGCGATTCGCTGATAGAGCTCCCGGATGTGGCCCTTGGATGAAGGACTGGAAGGAGAATTAGCTGGCATTTCCAAGTGCTAGAGTGGGTGTTTTCACCATTTCCGTTTGTCTTCACTGGGCCAGACACAAGGGATATTGAGTCTTTTGCATTTTCTGCAGCCCTCCAATTCAATTACGCACTGTGTGACGCTTAGTATCGTTGACCAATATCTATTCCAACCCCAGTACCTTGACTTTTTTCAGCCTGCAATGGTTGCAGGCAAGAGCAGGAGTGGAGTCATGTTTCTTAGAAACTCGACCCGTTCGGATCGGATTCCCATGAGTCTTCGGACTTTTTGACCCGGGGGCCTGCTGCAAGGCCGAATTTGATGTTTGAGGCGTTGAATAGCTGATATCCATTGTCATGACGGGTTTCGGCACGCTCGAGAAGATGGCTGGAGTGGGCTATCACCGAGTATATTTTCTACGCACAACGCTCCAAACCCCGCAATGTGGTGGAGAAGTCTCCAGCTTCTGGCCGAGGACGTCCCCCCTCTCTCCAGGTTTCGACTAAGTAGTCTGCAGGCTCCAATTGGCCTACCTTATGCATCAGCCGGAGGTCATTCTCCGTGGTTCACTAGCCTCGCGGCAACCCAGCCTTGTGAGTTGCGCTGTAGTGCCTCGGGTAAGAATTATGGGATATTTCCTCATCCGACAAGTGCGGACGAATTAATGATTGCCAGCTCGAGGGTGGTGGAATGTGCTCCGTATTCCATTTGTTGATCGGATCTAACTTTTGGCGGTAGTCCTCCCAGCCCATTATGGGGTCCGGAAGCTTGGGGGGAAGCGAGAGGGGATGACTGACGAAGCAGGCTTGCGAGAATCAGGCTTCCTGGTCAGGCTTCAATGGTAGGCCACCCGGTCAAAATATGTTTGTGCCGCATCGCCGTCGTCAAGAGTGTAGATTGGGAACAGGATGATAATGAACAAATCTGTCAGCATGTGGTTGTAGCTTTCGGTCAGCCATGGATGCCGCAGTCCGTATAACCTACCGACAGAGAACTGTGAGCCTGTGGATCAAGACCAGCAACCGAACCCCGGCCTTTCACAAGCTGTTCGCGGTGACTGGTCGCCACTGCTCTGGTCAGCAAAATCCTGCACCCAGCTCTCAGGCAATCAGAGTAGAGGTAAGATACTTTGAAAACTCAGGATCAGTAGTGGGAAGCGGTGTCACATTATTAGGACAAAAATAGAGCTAGTTCTGCGAGGATCTCGGTCAAGCAAATGTTGCTGATGCGGCAGCACCGCACGTCAGGTACCGGCACCACAATATGGAGCAAACTGCGCAGGATAATCCCACAGTGTGGTGCCCTTGGTGATTAAGCTTGAATGTGGGTGCTAAATAATAATCAACGGGGATAAGGGCCAGGAAACAAAGGAAAAGCTGGCTAGTGGGTGTGAGGGCCCCAGCCCGTCTTCGGCGATCTGCCGGTAGATCTTGTCCTCCTCTCCTTCGAGTCGAAATCATCTAGAAACGTTGCGAATTAGTATCGCAGAGGCGGCTCCGTGATTGTGGGCGTCAAGAAAGAATGCTAGAAGACCATGCTGCAGAGCCCGCACGAAAGTCGGCAGGAACAGCGGCCACCGTTGTTGGGAGGTGATATGGGCAATAACTGCTATTGGCAGAGTCGATGACCAAAGCCGCTGTTCGTGCCGTTCAATCGGTGCCAAAGCAAATTCAGACTGATATACCTCCCATTTCAATATAATCTTCGACATCAGGAGACGGTCTGTGGAAAGCTGTCACTCAATAGTTTGTTTCCATTTCCGTTTTCTTCGGAGAATTTCCCAGGAAGCGTCTCACTTCCAATAGCCAACGCTGTCTAAGCGCACCAAAGCATACAAGAAACAGCGATCCTATGGCAGTCACCGCAACCGAACCACGTCAGAAAATACAACCCAAAGAGGAAACCGGCATCGAGGGCCGGGATTTTGACCCTGCCGAAGTAGCGTACGTTCCAACCACGGGAGTTCGCAAATTATTCGAAACACCTCTTGTCTCAGCGACGCCTGAGAGCATCAAGGGTTATGGGGAGATTGTCAATGTGCAAAGCATCGCATCGAGATCGTACGTTGGCCCGCCCAGGGATGGCGGCCGGTGGACGCGAACTCTGGCGACCAGGGCGGAGTGACTGAGGGGCTGTTTGAGTTCTGGTGGAAAGGCGACACTCTCTATGCGCGCAACAACGCTGTTGGCGGCAGCTATCTTTTTGCCTGGAGCCAGTATCCTGAAGAGGCTGCCACCACTGGACCAGCGCGACCTCGTGAAAGAGCGATGATCTGGCGCGCGAACTACCACCCGGACGGGGGTCAGTTATTTTATCCGATGGATGGGCAGAGTTTCGTGGTTCCACTCGCCCTGCCAGGCGACGACGTAACGCCCGAAAAGTTCGTCGCGTTTCGATGCGACGGCGGCAAAGGATTGTATATCCATCCAAATATCTGGCACGGGGCCGTTGTGCCTGTCGAGGACCATGCGCGTTTCATCGATCGACAAGGCCGTGTGCATGCCCGTGTATCTGTGGATTTTGCCAAGGAGTTCGGGGGATACCTGTCTGTGCCTTTGCGGTCTGTCGTGCAGTGAGTGGCTCAACTACGTTCCATATCAGGTACAAGTGAGAGCAGCGGGAGGAGGGTTGCTCAATAGGGCATCCTATACCATTCTTGTGCCTAATCCCCGTGCCTCTCAAATTTGATCGCCACAGGAGTTTGCATTGGGAACGGTGTCCAGACAATTGAGACAATGCAAATCTGAAAATTGGACGAGCAAAACTTGGAAGCAGTGTAGCGGCATATGGCAGCACTTCAGGTGAAGGCAGGCATTTTCGCTGATTCCAGTCAGGCCTCCAGAGGAAACTGCGTCCTTGAGACCATCAAGCCAGGGATGCTTTGTGAATGAGAGTGAGTCGTTTAGCAAATTTAACCTCGGCCTCGATGTCATGATGTTTCTGTAGCACTTGCTTCATTTGGTGTTCGATCGCACTTGTGGTCCTCCATCGTTCATCTGCAGTCATCTTCATGTCCTTGAACTCTTCCTTGCGTTGAGCTAGAATGAGGGCTTCGTTGAGAATTCTCTTTTCTTTTTGCTTGGCGTTCTCTAGTTTCTCTTCGGCCTCTTGAAGTTCTCGCCTTGCTTCAATCCGAGACGCTCTGTAGTCACTTATTTTCTTGGGCTGGTGAGGCTTCTTGAACGCAAGGCTCAGTCTCCCTGGCGTCTTGGACGGCCTTGTTATCAGGCGTTGGTTTTCCACGACACTGCCGACGATCTCGGTGACGATGCTTCGAGTTTTCGCGCCCGTGTGACGTATGAGGACTTGAACGATTTCTTCTTCTCTGTTGCCATCCTCCAAAAGATCTAAAATGCGCCAGTATGCCGGAAGGGGTACTTCATGAGTGGCAACTTGGATGGTGGGCACATTATCAAAATTGGGAGACGGTGCTGCCACGACCCAAAAGTCAGAGCATGAAGACATGGAAAGGGCCAGAAGATTGACAGAAGCTTGCACCTACAGCTGACAGGAGAAGGAGGCAGTTTTGGAAGCTGCGAATCTTGCAGCAAATCTTGGGCAAGCATGGTTTGGTTTCCTTGTCGTCGACTTCTTTGTGTGTACGGCGAGTTTCGCGATTGCCGAACACGGCTCAAACGGGGGCTTAGAGAAAACAAATTGAGGATGGAGTTCAGGAATGAACAAAGAGACATGGACCAACATGAACTTAGAGTCGCTCAAGCCATGTAAAAACGGGTTCAAATGATCTTGATTCCAAAATCAGTGGCAGCGGAATGGCATGACGTGCTCTACCGGGAAATTCACCGCGGTCGGGCATAACGCGGTGTTCGAGTCTCAAGGCCATACTGTGCGGTCGGTGGCGAATGGGTTAATTGCCTCTGTTCAGAATCCTTCCTTCGGGGCATGAGGCCTACGACCAGCATGGACTTGGAGGATGCTATATACTCCTATGAAATTTGCCAAACTCCCACGGAAATTCGTTTGCGGAGGCTTGTGGGGATTCTGGGATCACCAGTGGATTACCCAGATCACCCAAAGTTAGCACTTGCATGCTGGCCATCTCTGTCATCTTCTTATTACACTCGTTTCCTTTCTTGCCAGTTGACAACATCCGGACTTGCGGACCACTGATCAACGAGGTCGCAGATTCCCCGGATTTAGATCAGTAATACGCACGAAGAGACACAAGCAATCGTTAAAACGAAACACTAGAATCCCGTTGTTTGCCTCGGGGGAGTACTCTTTACCTTTCTGCTCCCAATGTATTACAGTCCCATGTAAACAAATCATACATCTCTCATCTTTTTTGATGGTGACCGGGAATGTGGCTCGTCTGGCTCGTAGCACATCATCCGGTCGATCGTTGATCGCATAATGCATCGTGTAGCTCCTCATCAAGCCGGCGGCATATGTGTGCCCATCGCTACCAGAGACGACCTGGCTCATCATTATCATGCAATCCTGTGGGGTGAGATGCCCTGCATTGCAATATGCCGCCTCTCACGCAAGTCTTGCAACAGGATTTACCATGTCTGAATCACATTCTTCGCCGACAAGAAAGCATCGCGTCATCAAAAACATGTACACATCATTTTGGGGGGGTTATCTGTTCACCATAGACCGCAAATTGAAAAGGCGGACGCAGAAAGGGCCGGATAGTAACGATCAAGGCGACATCATACCATCAGCCAGTGTCGGTGTGAACCCCACAGTCACTCTCCGCGCCAAGTCATATCATGTTGTATTCGAAGGGCCGTTGGCATCCTCGATGGCGATAACGTCAGGCAGTGAGGCATATTTCAAGCCGGTTGCTTTCTCCATTTTTGTTCGCTCGATCAGGGCCTGGGTCCTCCATCTGCATTCAAGCCGGGCTCTTTTTCCGGCCAAGGCCAATCTCAGATCGGCCTCCTGGCTGGAATAGTCTCGGTCGATGACGGCGAGTTCCTTCTTTTGTTCTCTTTCCAGGACTTCCATCTCTTTTTCCTTTTTCCGTATCAGATTCTCAACAGCCCTCTTTTGTTTACCCCGCAGAACATTGACCTTGCTAGCGCGCAGGGAATCCATGATGTCTCGTTCACGATATTGCTGAGCGAGATTGTGATAGTCTTTCTCGGTGACTTTGCGTTCTGGGAAGGAGGAGTCGATAGAAGTATGTCTCGAGTTCTGATCCACCGGCGTCGGGGGCGGAGTTGGATTCTGACAATAAGCTTCCATGTGCCGTAAGCGCAACATAACGGCTCTCTTCTCCAGCTCGTGTTCCTTTTCCATCTTCATTTCTTCTTCTAGTTGGCGCGCCTCTAGGTCTTCTACAGTTCGGTCCATCTAAAACAGGTTAGCGACGGTCCCAACACCGTCTCCAGCTGCGACGAACCTTTGATCTTTGTTCAGCAATCACTTTTCCATGCGTTGTTTTCTTGTGTGCCTTGAGCGAATCTCGTTCTGACTTTAACTGTAACATCAATGAAGCCTGAAACTCGAGAAAACGGGCTTTTTCGTCCAGCTGAGCCATTCGGAGGTTGAGCAATTCTTTACACCCCATACTTCTCTGGAGCGCCTCCATCTCCACAAACGGTTGTGATTCGCAGCTTGACTTTGCCGCGGATAGCGGTTGTGACCAGGAACTCTTGCTCGATTTGACCGACAAAGGACTCTGCATGTCCACAGAGATTTCTTCACTGTCATTGGTTTCGGCATCACTGCTGATACTTGTAAGGGTCGAAGAGGCCGACAGACCACCAGTTCTTTTCTTTCGAAAACCTGCCATTTTTTGGAACCCTCTTCTCAGTGGCGAATATTTCTTTCTCTCGCTCGTCGAAGCTGGTGAGGGGACATCTGAGCTCGAAGGGGCGTGGTCAGATATCCGTGAGGACTGGGTCACCGGACGATGCTCGCTGGAGGCACAGGAGGTCGCTGTGGTAGACTGGGATTGGATGGAGCTCTGGTTGACGGAGTCGGAAGCGATGGTAATTGTCGAAACTGAAGAAGCAATCCTGTCGATTCCCGAGGTTACTTGAAGAGGTGATATGCCGAGACTTTGCGCCTCCAACGCAAGCCGATCATCAAGCTCATCTTCAGAGGATGTAGAGGGTAATTGAAGGACGCTAGCACTGTAGAGGGCTTCGTCGATCGACTTCTTCGGAGTCGACCATGATTGCATGTCGGAGGGGTCTGGTATCCAGGTTGGTCTGCTGGAAGGTATTGAAGATTCCCGGGCCAGAGACCAAGCATGATCAACAGCCGTCATGGTGGGCTGGATCAAAAGGCTGAGAAAGTGGTCACAACGGTTATCTCATTGTTTATTGGATGGGCTCGGTTGCACCAGAGAGAACGAACTCGTTCGTCGTGCAAACCGTCTAGCGATGGCTTGTAGCAGCGCGTGTAACTGAAGCAAAAGCAATCAATCTCAGGCAGGGCAGCGGAACGCAGCGTGTTGGAGTCGAGACATGCAGCTGGGACAGGAGGACGAGTGGGGAGTGCGGCGGTGGGTGCGTAGCGATGATCGGCGAGTCGGGTCTGGAACCTTGATGTCAGTCTTTTGTAAGGTACCACATCTCAGGGCCAAGAAGAACCGACATGGAATTGGGGGCGGTCTTGAGAAGATGTAAACGTGGCTTTTACTGAGTATTATGTACAACGGAGCAAGAAGGGAAGATAGCTGAAGGGTTTCAATTGAGAATGGCGGCTGGTCACAGTGGGCAAAGTGGTCTTGGTGGTTGCCAGCAGCCAGCTGCAGGAGCTGGGAGCTCGGTTTATTATGTCATCGGAAAGTGAGGAATGAGGTACATCTGCCGCACTGGGTCCGATCTCTTTTTCGAATGCCCGCCCTCGCCCCCTAGCCGGCCAAGACAAGGACCCAGACAACCAGCAGTAGGAATCATCAACGTCAAGGACCAGGCTGTCTGCGACACGGTGGACAGTGGGCACAGGCCAAGCCACAGACCAATTCCCTCAAGCAAATGCCAACTGGGAGTCTCGCTCACGGCACCCAGTGCGCTGCATTCCTGCTCCTGTCTCTCCCCTGGCTCTCCCCTGGCTCTCCTGTCACTTCTCATGTTGTGTAATCTATCATCCCCTCTCTTTTGTTTCTTTTGATTCGCAAGACTCGTTTCGAGAACGAGAGGGACAAGGAACCAAAAAAAAAAAAAAACAAACTTAGAACCACTAGTTGTTTTGTGCCCGTTTGACTTTGGGCCTCGCTTCCTCGGGAGCGAAGAACCTAATTCCAATATTCGGTTTGATCTTAGAGGGGAGCGGAGGTTAGTGGGCCGTTTTAACCTGAACTTTGACTAAGCCTAGTGAGCCTTAGGAATTTGATTTAAAACAGGTGGCCCGAGCACCGATGGTGCCGAGACGCCTAATGTCCCCGTTAACCTGCGAGCATCTACGAGGTACTCGGTAGTGGCATAAGTATTGCTCCCGGTAACGGTGTCTATTCGCCTAATCGTCCCCCCACTGCCAAAACTTTTAGCTGGCTCTCATCCGCTTTTGATCTGCAGGAGTCGCTGTTCCATCTTATTGTTGAACCAATACAAGGTACCTTGTCCACAACTACCGTCTTCAATCTCGCTGAGTATGGAGGCAATTCCATATCAGAAAACCCCCATTTCTTCTTACGTGGGAGGGGAGGAATGTATGACTTCTGGAATCCCAAGTGCAATATTTTACCAGTCATCATGAAGTGCTTTTCAGGCCTTTCATCAAAGCAAGACTCCGATATACAGAACAAGGGTTAAGAAATCAGGGCCAACACCATACGAGTTCGCTTATCTGAAATCAGCTACTTAGTATCTCGGTCAGTCAGTATGGCCGCGGTCACTTTGCGTCTCGACACCATGAGAAGCATGGCAGCCACCTTCACCACCAGCCTCACCAGCCACATGAGTCCGGCTATATGCCTCTGTGGACAGGATACTCGATACTCGGTACATCCGGCCGGATATCTTCTCAAGTCCTCATATATTATGTCTTTGTGCCTCTATGCGGGTCCCCTTACAGCCCACGAGCTCTATCTGCAAGCATACCAAGGATGGTCGGAAAAGTGTATCGCGCCCTCGCTGTTGTGGTTCTGAACCTCTATCGAAACCTCACTTTCCAAAACTGATTGGGCCATGCGACATGGACCCCTAGTGTCCAGGCAACCTTGAGCACCCACTCGGGTTCTCTTAGAAACTGCCGCGCAACGAGAATCACATCAGCCATCGGTTCTTTATCTCTGGTATTAGTCATGTCGTTTGCGATGGCAGCTTCATCCCTGATACTCTTGTCAGATCCATCATCGACGATATCTCTGGCTTGCACTGCCTGAGTAATCAAACCGACCGCACCGATGAGGAGCTTCGAGTTGGCTTCCTTTAGCGTGTGTCGTATTTGACAAGCGATTTTTGACTGGTAATCGCTAGAAGACATCATCTGGATCCGTTGTTGCGGGTGACATCCTCCACTACTGACATCGAGGAGATCAACGCCGAGCGAAGGTAGAAGAGCTGCAAGTCTAATGGTACTTTGTACGCCCCAGCTACCGTATTTCTCTCGCAGATCAGTCTCCTCCATCCATTCTGTGGCGCTGATGCGGAGGAAAAGGGGCATTTCTGACGGTATCTCGGCGCGTATAGCACGAATAACTTCGATCAATAGGCGAGTTCGATTCTCGAAACTCCCGCCGTAATCATCTGACCTGCGATTCGTGATCGGACTCAGGAATTGAAAGATTAAATAACCGTGAGCGCCATGTATCTCAATGTCGTCGATCTCAGCTTCAACTGCCCGCCGGGCACTCGCAGCAAAAGCTTTAACGACTTCCTGAATCTCAGGAATAGTTAGCGGTCGCGGAATGCAAAAGCCACCGTCATCAGCCGAGCCTTTCCCATCCCAAGAATCTTGCGGGCCACCCATCGGGCCTACGACATCCTCTGGCCAGCCACCGACCTCTGTCGTCGCTCGTATCGAAGGTCTTTTCTTTTGAGCTGAAATCCAAGGGGCGACAGTGCTCGCTTTGCGGCCAGCATGGGCTAACTGTATTCCTGACAAAGCACCCTATGATTTAATGAAATCCGAAACCCGCTTGAAGCTAGCTGTTTGCTCATCGCTCTACAAACCAGGGCACTGGGGTGTAATGCGACCGTTGGGCTGTACACCTGTGGCTTCAGCGAAAATAAGGGCGGCGCCCTTGATAGCGTAATGCCCGAGTGTTGCCAGATGCCAGTCCGTCAACTTGCCCACGTCGGGCCCCTTCGCGGCCGCTGAGTATTGACACATAGGCAACACTATTATTCGATTTTTGAGCGTTTTGGATCGAATCTCAAGAGGCGTGAATAACGTCGGTGTGTTTAGTGCAATAGGCTCGAGAACAGCACCCGGATTCGAGGCATAGGCTGGAGTGTAACAAGGCCCATTGCGTACACCAGAGTTGAGCCCATTCTCGACTAGCTCCGACAACATGGCTTCACTGTGTGCAGTTCTCAGGCAGGTATCGCCAGCGCCAGTGTCATTCTCAACGCAAGAAAGGAGGTTCTCTTTATGCGAGAAACTGATGTTGACGGAGGGGGGCCAGCGCCATCTCAAGGTCGAGGCTAATTGGGATTGCATAAAGCTAATCGGGGAAACTAAAGAGGGCTCCGAGACACAAAACCCCCTTTTCGGGGAGCCTTGTCGGTTTTGTTTTGCAGACCAATGCGATTACCCACTACGGCTTCACTTCGCACCGGACTATTTTCAGTAGTTGATTTCATTCTCCAAGAACTACAGCCTTGAAGTACAGATAAATTGTCCTAGCCTCGATCCACCAAGATGCTCAGACTGATCACGGCAGCCGCATTGGAGGCGCAAGGCGAGGTTCGGAATCCCATACTTCAAGGTCTCATTGCCACATGGTTTGATGGCGGTTGGACATCACTAAAAGTAGGTTCTTTCCATAATACCTCGAGAAACACCAAGAAGGGCTGGGGTCTTGAGGTAACCACAACAGCATGGGTGTCGCCGAAGTCGTCTTTCTTCCCTTGCAGGATGAGAAATTCCCAAATAACCAAACCAGTCCCAATGGACAAACTTCATGACGACCTTCTTCAAATCATTCTCTTGCAGCCCGGTGTCCAGCGCGTATATTGGGGCCGGGAAATCGAGAACCCTCTGACGTTGAGATGGTTTGTCGACTGGGATGACGTTGAGAACCATAAAAGGTTCATGAATGCTGAGTATGTGCTTACATTCCATCCCCCTTACCTTCGCCTATTGACCGTTTGTAAGTGCCTACGAACCGTTCATGGAGGGGATCGGAACTATCGTCGCTGGCGCGGTAAAGGATATCATGCTCGACCCAGGCCTCATCCTCCCGTCCCTGCTCTCAGTAACACCACGTCTCCAATTACCGAGGTCGTGACCATGTGGTTTCGAAACACATACCCGCAGAATGATCAAGACAAGGTGACCGAGGAGGTAGAGAACTTCATCTCAATTTTCGAAAACCATGCGCACAATTATACGGCTTCTGCTGCAGGTTGGGTGGATGAAGAGATTGACATCCCAGGGATGGAGGAGCGCGGAAAGGCATATGTACTACTGGTTGGCTGGACTTCTGTTGAGGCGCACATGCAGTTTCGAGAGACCCAGGCATTCAAGGATTCCATTCACTATGTTATGGGAGCAAAGAACCTGAAGAAGATCGAGGCGGTTCATGTAAGCTTGACGGAGATCACTAAATAGAAAGCCCTATTGATCTCCAAAACGGAAGGAAAGTCCCTTTCGTCGTCCAGTCCACAATAAATGCAATTACCAGAGATTGAGAAAGTTGGAGTTATGGATTGTCTACCTAAAAGGGCGAGGTTGACTGGCTATGTGGACGTGAAATCAAGAGGTTGCAGGCCATATTCTGACAACGACAAGCCAGGCTGAGCCATCGTTGAAGGTCCATCTTCCTGTTTCCCCCAACCTCGGTCGTCAAGTGTTTTTCCAGTCTTGAGATAGCTTGCCTGTGGACATTCCGCTACGCAATCCACCTTGTCGCATTCGTGCCTGTAAGTTTCCTATTCAGTTTCTTGTAGTGAAAATACAAGCCTAAGGTGACAGACGCCCCAATGAGCTGGCTCGCGGCATTGACTCCATGCCCCAGCTTGTGAAGGGGTGCATCTTGCGCGCGATAGATCCAAATGCCAATGATCTGGCCAGGCCCACTGGAAGCGACATTCAGTGCCGTGGCTAGAGAGCCTCCGGTGGTTGAACGAGCGTTGTCTCCGACCCAGGTACACAGAGGAGGGAGAGCAGAGAAACAGCCACTGGTGGCGAGGATCAGGAAAAAGTAGCAAACACCGTAGTGAGTGCCTGGAATGGCAGCTTCCTGAGAGTCAGCACGCAATGTCTCCAAATCACCATGGTGATGTATCACAGATACAACTCACCAAGGATGAGAAAAGAAATTGCCGCGACGCTAAATCCGGCACAGGCGAAGTGCCCTCGCATTTGTCGATTGTCAGACCAAAGAGCCACCACGAGCGTAACGACGTAGGCAATCGCGTACGGTGGGACAGTGAAGAGCTGGGCTCGCAAGTCGTGGTACCCGAGACCAGCAACGATAACGGGAGAGAATAGTGAAAGAGATGTAGCTCCGCTGCCAGCTGCGAGGTATGTGGAATAGTGCACCCATAGTTTCACGTCCTTGAGGGTTGCCTTTGCATCCTTCCAGTTGATCTTGGCTTCGCTGTCGGGGCTGGTCAGCTACGTCAGGCTTCTTGTAGAGGCTAAGTTACTTACCCGTGTGAACTATTTTCGGAGGCAAGACGTTGGCGTTGGATGGCCTTTTCGGTCTGTGTAAGCCAGCTAGCATTTTCTGGATAGTTTGGCATGAAGAAAAAGACGAGTATCCCAACCAAGACTGCCAGTAACCATTAGCTTCCACATCAGTCGTGGAAGCGCATCTGTAGCTCCTCACCTGATGGGAGACCCTCGATAATGAAGAGCCAACACCACGCCACAAGGCCCGCTGTACGATTCATATGTCGGACACCGTAAGCAATCGCTCTAAGACACTGATCAGCTGTTCGCGTTCCCCACCAAGAGCAGTGCGAAGACTTGCCCTCCGAAAGCCCCAGCTAAAGTTGCGCTGCAGAGGAAAATTGCAATTCGAGTGGCGCGTTCCTCGGGCTTGTACCAAAAGGACATGAAAAAGATCATGCCAGGAAAGATGCCAGCTTCAGCGGCACCGAGGAAGAATCTGAGAGCAGTGACACCGGCGAAGTTGGTCGTTCCGGCGATACCACAGCAAATTGCACCGAAGGAAAAGACAAGAAAACCGAGCCATCTACAGGAGGGTTCAGTCAGCAAAAGCGGACAATTTCATCCAAGGCGTCAGCTTAACATGCCTATTTGGGGTGAAGACCTTCAATGCCAGATTGGAAGGCGCTTCGAAGATGCAATAGGCCACAATGAAAACCATCAGAGCAATCGTGAATTGATAGTTGGTCATGTGGTTGGTCTGTGGCATAGCATCGCCCATGTTGGCATTGAGGATTTTGGCATTGCCTGCTCAGTTGGGCACGAGAGCAGTCAACAAGGCTTTCACTCGTAAATCGTTGGATAGCACTGTACCTATGTTGCCTCGGTCCAGATAGCAAAGCAGGTAGATCAATGCGGTCGTTAGCATCAACCTCGAATCGATTTTCCAGACAATCCTAAGCAGGGAATCATCAGTCATGATGTGATGATCTTCTCATGAGGCTGTATTTTCTCGTACCAGTATTCTCTTCTCGTGTGTAGGAGACAGCCTCCTGGGCTTCGATGGCCTCTATTAGCTCGACACCAGATGGCGAGGATGGTTTCTCAACGACATCGGCCGTTTTCGATGATCCCCTTATTTAAAATAACGGAGAGAAGCTGTTGATGGTCTCCTCAAATGAGTGGACGATGCTTCGAACGTGGTGGAGAAGCAGGGTCTGAGAAAGAAGATTGTATTGCCGGACTTTCGCTCTGCCCGTTTGACGGCCACGGTCCTTGTCCTGCCACAAATCATGGACAAAGTGGATCGGCACTCACATAACGTATTGCGGATAATAGACGACAGGAAGATTGAATTCGGGCTCGTTAAAGACTTCGACGTGAATTACTACAGTCCCATTGAGGCCTCGGAAGATTTTGAAGTCTCCGCGCCCCTGAATACGACACAGCCTGTTTTGGCTATCGGCTGTTTGGTCTTCTCCGAGAAGCGCGGTGGATCGGCTACTGGTCGACTTGATGTGCATGAAGATTACCTCCAAGAGCAATGATCAATTGAGGTAATGGCCCTACCTCACACTGGAAGTAGATTTTGTGCTCCTCAAGAGTCGCTTTCAAACCTAGCTAAGTGTCAGTCGCAGACGTTTTCTGACCAGCCACACTCTATCTTCAACTTTACCATGAGGTCAATAGCTCTCACCAACGTAAACCTCGAAGAGCTCAAAGGGAAAACGGTCATTGTCACCGGTGTTACGGGCGGCATCGGTGGTGAAACCGCAAGGACTTACCATAACCATGGATCGAATGTGGTATTGGCTGACCTAGAACAAATGCGAAGCTTCGCTGAGGCCGTGATGGCCTCATTCTCCGAGCCATCACGGGCGATGTTCGTTCCTGTAGACATCTTGGACTGGGCTCAGATGACATCCTTGTTTCGGTCAACAAAAGAGAGATTCGGCAGCGTCAATGTTGTCGTCGCCAATGCTGGGGTTATGGAATCTAGACCCGTCCTGGAGAGTAACGAAGCTGACGAAAATAGCCACTTGAAGGAGCCCGTAGAGGCATACAAGGTCATTGACATCAATCTCAAGGAAACTTTGAATAGTAAGTCTGCATGCTGCTGGGGCCATACCACGCTAATCCCGTGTAGCTTTGCGCCTTGCTCTCTTCTACATGGCAAAAAATTGAGCCCAAGTTTCGGGACGGTTCACAAGGCTCTGTGGTCCTTGTCACCTCGACTTCCGGATACTTTGGAGGAACGGGCGTCGCAGCATATGTTTCATCGAAGCATGGAGCCACCGGACTTTTGCGCGCATCTCAGGGAGCTGCGAATAAAGTCCAAATCCGCGTCAACGGCATAGCACCGAACTTTACAGCCACGCGACTCACTGAAAACTTCGCAAAAGCATGGTATGAAGCTGGTTTTGAGCACAACACTCTCCATCATGGGGCTCATGTGATCGCTCAAATGTCGGTCGACCCTAGCCGACAAGGTGTCTGCTGTTTGGTATGTCCACAATCCCCGACCACTTGATCAAAAGAGACACGACTGAACCTCTGTATGTAGATTGCTGGTAGGATACTGCGGGAAATGGAACATTCGAGGACATATTTACTCTCAGAATGGCTCGGTGATGATCTTGTTCAATTCATGAACAATGTAGGAGGGCTACTTGCCGGTATGGGAGGGCTGCCGCTACCGAAACTACCAGCTCTGCAGCAAGAGCCCAGAAGGTCGTCTCGTGCATCGATGAATCAGGGTTCAGGGCTGAGAAGTTCGGGCAAAGCTAGCATGTAACGTGCTTTGTGCAGATTCGAAGTTGGTTCCAACTTGGACAGGGGGGCTGAAGATCGATCTTGTTTCTCTATGAGGCATCGGCCCTTCAAAAGAGCTTGAGAACGTCTTTATTTGGTAGTTTCCATTCATGTAGGGCCAATCGTCCTATATTGACTGATCGTCTACTAGGGAGGAAACTATTAAATAGAGGCGACGAGCTTTTGTGAGTGGAAATACAGGAGTCAGATCAGGTATTCCTGAACATCTAGGTGCTGCTCAGGAAACGTACAGTGAGGCTCGGCTAAAGCGGCCTCCGCTCACTTTCTAGGATCGAGCCGCTCTTGGGGAATAAATATTTTGTTAGCGAGTGATCTGGGTAGAGAAAGTGCAGGGCTCGAAGAACCGTAACGTGGGGTCACGGCAGGGAGTATGGAGTACGAGTATGGAGTACCGAGTGTGGAGAAGTCTGTCAGGCAAGTCTAAAGCTAAACAGCGCGGGGTCCCTCAGAGCCAAAGCTCGGCATCTTTGGTCCTCGAGGGACTTCTGCACAAAACCCAAAGCTGACTTCCTTCTTTTATCCTTAATCCTTCGGCTCTATGTCTCCAGACAGCTTTAATTCCAGCAGGACAAGGATCCAGGCAACTGGCGTGACTACGTCTAGAGAAAGCGAGTACGATGATATGAACTCCTCAGAGGAGGATGAGCACGATGCTAGGCCCACCAAGCGGCCTCGAAGATCGATTGCGAGACAAGTGAGCGGTGCGCCATGTCCCCTGTCTGGTTGATTGTGTCCTGTCCCCCTGGCTATTCAGAGAGACTCTGCCTGTTTATATATACATTGGCCTATAACCACAAGAGCATTCCTGAAACCTCCTACTCCGTCGCCATCCTGTCACAGAACTGAAGGAACAACGAGGTTGAGGCAGTTTGCGCAGTTGGTGAAGCGTCTAGCGTCTCAGGTGGTTTACCACAGTGGCTATCTTGCAACCCTGTCAACAGATCGTTAGGGAGCTAGGATAGATCGTACTTCCGCCCTTATAAGAGGACAAAGCGAAGTCATTCACTAAAGACAACGGATACCGTCGTAATATTCTCCCAGAAAGTCCCAAAGAACGAGACATCTGAACAAAGTGCGGGCACCAATGAACCCAACAATCTCACCTACCGACATGGACGGTCTGCGTGAATGGGCCCAGAAACATTCGTTTCTGAGTAGAGAAACTGCAATTGAGAGAATAGCAGCCCGCCCGACCATGTCATGTCAGAGAGCCATTCGTCGTAAAAGAGGTTCAGGACGAGGTCGAGATTGCGAATTTTAGGGGCCTAGGCAATTCGGTCTTCTGTCTCAAACCTGTAAACCTCGCCAGCTGATACTTTTGGTGCAGTGCTAGAGTTTCTCCAAAGGCTGGGTCGGCTCAACTGCCATCTATCTAAGTTATTGGCAGCTGTATACCATCCACTGAAGGCACTGAATCGGAATCCCCTGGGATCATGCGCCACGCGTCGCAAACCGCTCTCGGATTGAGCACGAAAGGATTGACCTCCAAGTTCTTCTCCAGAACTGGGATCCCCAACCAGGCTTTGTTGTCTCGATCCGTCCCAGCCTTGATCGAACTTTGACAGCTCTCCGACTGACCAAGTCCTCTTGCTTTTGCGGCGACAGGAGACACCAAGTTATTCCAATGGTAGACTGAGTCTTTGCGTCTTCACCGACCGCTCCATGCCATCCTCCCTTGCCTAGTCTAGATTTGTGCTGTCGCCGAAGCCACTTGACGCCCTACGCTGCCTACTGGACTAGTTCTCCGGCTTGTTGGGACCGGGGAAGAGTGCGGATTTGCACATCATCGGACACGGCGGTCGTCGACTCCCACTGGCGTCATCCTAGAAGTGTGGTCGGCAAAGACACAACTAGACTCATGCTTATGGACATTGGGTGATTTCAATTAGCCATTGGCCCTATATTCTCCGTAACCCGATGAGAAGTTCGCAACACACACGTCGACTGTCTCTCCATAAGAGTTACTCCAAGGTGCTAGTGTGCCCGGGATCGCACCAAATCCCATCACCTCCATTCACCTCCTCCAAACATAGCTAGCCACGACGAGTTTATCTAGACTCTTCCTTTCGCGGCTTAGGACGCCTGTTCTATCATCTCTGAGTGCATCCCGGCCAACTCGGGAACAATCAAACTCTCGATTTCCATGCCCTCCGTCACGTTACCTCCATTTAGATCGTGTAGTTCCGGTCCATGCTTTCGCTCTGCTTTGCCCACCAACGCTTCCACTCCTGAAAAGCTCTTGGACCGCCTCGTCTTGGGGACTCGGATCCACCTCTCTCCACCATTGCGAGTGATGAAGACGACCTCCCACTTGCGGGTCGTGAGCAGATTGCCAATCACGAGGTCGTGTTGATAACGTTCCAAAGCTTGTTCGGCCTTGGTTACAAGAAGGTCCGGGTCTGTCTCGAGCTTGAAGCTCACGATCATGCTGCCTTTTGGGGCCCATGAATGCACCAGATTGGTGAGGAACTTTGGAACCGGGTCCAAATTGATCACCAACTGACGACTGTTTCCTCCTTCACGAGACTGGATCTTGTGCTCCTCCATCCGATTTCTCGGGATGAAGAAGTCAGAGACCGCCGCAGCCAAGTAGAAAAGCGCCCGGCTCCCAAGCGGACGCATAATTACAGCAAGGCTGCGAAGCTCGAACATATATTCTGTGACTGTGGTGAAGGGTAGAAGTAAGAGCAGCCGACTGTGCTTGGCGTGCTGGTACTGCCTCAAGACTCGGCGCATCTTCTCTTGATATTCTTTTCGGACAACAACCCGCTCACCATCTTCAGATTCCTCCATGAAATCCAGGAAGCAGTTGGTACTGTGGCTGTAGTGTCGAGAGTAAGGCAAGAGACTGAACTGCCGATGTAAGAAGATGACGGCATAGCCTTCTTGCAGAAAATATTCGGCGGATGTGGCTCCTCGAGTACCGGCGGAGAAGTTGTCAATGAAGCGCACTGTTTGATTTTCCAGAGGGACAGTCGTCCCTCCCGAAGTGACTAGAGCGATTCGGCGATCCGGCGCGTTCTCCAGATGATATTGGATGAACTCTCGGGCCAGCGTCTCGTGGTTAGCCAGTGATTTGGGAGCCGGGTTGCTTTGGAAATAGGTGGTTTCAGCTTCCTCATGTGCTGTTATTCCGTTGGGGTTGTCTGGAGCCATTGTGGCGATTGTGATATTTTCACGGCTGGTGTCTGGGAGGTAATTTGATAGTCCTTCACCAACGAAAAGCAAGCACCAGACGCGAGGCAGAGATGGTCCTTTCTCAGGATGGTTTCATAGAATTCGCACTCGAGGGTAATACCTGATCTGTCCGGACAATGAGTCAAGAACTATGAAGAGATAAAATGATTATTGTTGGTGAGACAGCTAATCTTTCCCGTGGCCCGAAGATAGTCGGCGACTTTGAGTATGAGAAGTGCAGCGCAAACTCCATCCTCAGTGGCATTTATCTCAGAGAAACTGGCATATCGGCACAGATTTCACTCGAAGCGAGCGGCATTGACTGTTGCCACAGCACGTTGAGTGCTGGCTCCTACATGTTCCAAGATGAAAGAAACCCCTACGGAAAACTGAAGGCATTCAGGAATGTTGTCTCGTTGGTCACAGTATCATGATGTCGTTCTCGCCGCGATTTTGTGCCGAGGTTCGGCGGATTTGTGAAGCATCACGTCACGTGTATGAGAACTGTGAAGCACGTGACTGAGCCCGTCACGTGGCTCGGCTGTTTCACGGCCTGTTTCCGGACAAGGCAAACGGCAAGGCTGATTTCTTCCCAGGACCCACTGTACCAAGTACATGCTCCTTGTGGATCTCGTATTCGGATCTCGTTCATGATCTTCACAAACCCCTTGCCCAATGTGGCCATCTCTGGAAACCCATCGACACGGGTACACTAGCCTGGTTCGCGACGTTGGAATTTGCTTCGATCTTTCCCAGAGCTAAGACATTTCGAGGCCATTTCGCGACCTCGCATCGACAGACAACTCATCTCCCCCGTCAATCAGGGTGCCGCTCCTCGCGAGGCAACCACGAGGCGTCCTTGTTCTGCCAAAAATCAATGGCATTTCCTATCATGCTTCAGTCCTGTTTCCATTCAGATCTCCTGACGAGGGATGCCAGCAAGCTCCCCAGCAAGATGCCATCTTTTGAGTTGCCCGTCAGTTGTTGTCGAAACAACCTAAGTATCCGGCGACTCTCATGGACTTTACCATCGCGTATTCGGCACGTGGATATACGTGGCTGCTTTGGAGTAGGCGTATCCACGGGCTGTTTTCGACTTTAGCCACCCCTTAACGTGGTGCGCACTTTCAGATCATACGGACTTTTGTGGCGGCGCACTATGTTGATCTGGTAACAGAATCGTCCCTCTCTATGCGACCTCGTCTTTCCAATATTTAAACGCTCGTATTTCCACCAGTTTATCCCTATGATCTCAGGCTTGCTTGATATCTTCCTGCCGCATCTCCTACTTAATCCATAAACTCGGGAGTCTGAAGCCATGGCCTCTTCTTCCGACATATCTTACTGGGTATATAAGCCAACCAAAGGTGTCTCTATTGCGTTTGCTGTGCTCTTTTTCATCTCGGGCGTCCTTCACGTGTGGCAAAACAATCTCAAATACAAGGGCTCATGGCGAATTGGCTTTCTCTTCCCTTGGGCGGCAGCACTGTTTGTTGCAGGACTTGTGACTCGAGAATACGGTGCCTATCATACCGATGATCTCGGCGTATTTATTGCCAGTACGGTTCTGTTGGTGAGTTTCCATGCGTCTCCGAAATCATCTTCGTTTCTGAAAGGCACTTCCAATATCGCACAACGTCCATATACCTCCCACTGACAGATTTATAGTTCATCGCTCCACCAGTCTACAACGGTGCAGATTACTTCATTTTCGGCAGGCTGTTGTACTATATACCGTACCTGTCTCCTCTTCACCCAGGACGTGTCTGGACCACTTTCGTCGCGTTGGACCTGGTCGACGGGATAATTGCAGGCAACGGAGCCTCGTACGCGGCGAATTCCAGTAACAGCGAATCAAAAATCAAAATGGGCATCATATTGGTCAAGGTGTCGCTCTTTCTTCTGCTGGGCATGTGAGTTACCGCGTCCCCAATGAGAATGCATGGTCATCGGAGACGTCATCGTCACCGGAATTCGGAACATCCTCATAGAGACTAACTGCGATTTGCAGGTTTCTCGGCTTTATATACCTTATAGTCATCTTCCACAGACGATGCATCGCAGCCAACGTCTTCACCCACAAAGTGAAAGTAGTCGTGTACTCGCTCTATGCATCTGGCTTCCTCATTCTCATCCGCAACGCGTTTCGCACCGCCTCCTTCTTCTATCCGCCAACCTCGACAGCCAACGGAAAAGAGTGGACTTTTTGGGTACTAGAGGTCGTCCCGATGCTCTTCAACACTTATCTTATGAACATCTATCCGCCCTTGAAATACCTTCCTCACAATAACAAGATATACCTGGCTGTGGACGGTAAGACAGAGATCGAAGGGCCCGGAATGGTCGAGAATAGACCTTTCATCCTGACACTGGTTGATCCGTTCGACCTTGTCGGGTTGGTGACGGGACAAGATAACAAGAACAGATTCTGGGAGAAGGACGGTATTGGCGGACCAGGGGGATCGGCAAGTCGTAGAATTGGAGATGATAACGAACCAGGCAGAAGGATGAAGGGAGACCACAGCAAAACTCGAGTCCATGATGCAGAGGTTATCTGAAGGCAAAGTCGAAGACACGCCGGAACAGCATTATTGGCGTTTGATGGGACCGATTTCAGTTTACACCTCGTGCTTGCTTTAGAGAACAGTGATCCTTTGCAACAGATACATTTTTTTGTGTTTGGGCAGGAGTCAACAATGCTCATCTACCTACTTGTATGTACAGAGTACCGAGTACAGGTGTGAGGAAATGGCGAGACTGGCTCGCTGGGTCCCTAAGCGTCGGATGTAGCGGCCCGGGGGGAAGCTGGGGGTGCCAAAAGTGACTTCGAGGCATAGATCGTCAAAGCCTTGCAGCGAATGGCATTCTCGGCGTGCCAAGATCTTTCATCATCATCCTCCGCCTCATTCTCCGCGTCCGCAACACATCTTCACCATATTCGCGTTCGCAGACTTGCGTCACGGATTTCTTCGCCGGCGCTCACACTCGGTGTCGTCATGGCTCACATGGACTCAGCCGCCGTGCACAGGGTACTACGAAGCTGGCCTGGCTGATAAATGCCTTCCCTGGACCTCGCATTCTCACTCTGACCAAAACCGTAATCCTCTACTAGCGAATTTGCTCTCACTGTACCCTGAAGAAAACCGACGTGTAACAAGATGGCCGACCGAACGCAAGACAAGACTCATGAGGCCGTGGGCGACGTGAAATCCGTTCTGAAGGGCATCAAGGGCATGGGGGACACTCTCCGCGGCTCGGTTAACGAATCGATTGACACAGCATTCAATGACCGAGAGGGAGAAATCAAAAACAAAGCGATCAAGGAAAAAGGAGAAGCAGAAACACATCAGGCCGATAGTCACTTTGGTAAGAGACAAACTCAAGCTGTTGCCAGCAACAATTCTGGTGTTTATGCTGATGGGTTGTCAACTAGGGGGAACAGCCGCTAGGGGAACGACCACCGCCGCCGCCGGAGGCACAACGACTGGGGCAGGTGCTCATTCTGGAGGCGTGGGAAACATGAGCAGCACTGTTCCTCAGGGGAGGCTTGGGGGTGAACCCACCACTACCAGGGAGAGATTCTGAGAGCAGGGAGGACAGCACGTCGAGATGATTTAGCGATGGATTGATCAAGGCCGATGGGCGAGCAGCAAAAACTAATACGACAGATTCCAAGTCCATATGGAGATCTCGTTTGAGAGAATTCGGAACCATCAGGCAAGTCAAACTGTTCCTGCGCCTACGACGGTGATATCAAAAAAGAGAAAAAGAAAAAGAAAAAAGATCAAACGATGCAGAACCCCTACAAATCATTGCGATAATGGTATGTGACTTGGTCGAAATCAATCTCTTCGTCCAGTGCAACCTAGGCCCCGTGGTACTTTGCCTTGAAGCTGTGATTCACTTCTAGTGGTGTTCTTGTTCTTTCCTTGCCGGACCCAACGTCCTCTCAGCCTCTTCTCTTTCCAACACTCTCCAACATCGTCTGTCCCAGATCCTCTCGTCGCTTCTGGGAACTAGATAGCTCGCGGCTACAGTCAGGTAACGAGCTCTTCACATGCTGTCTAGTCAGTGTCGCCCTGCACTTCCTCGTTCCTCGGCGTTCGGTACCTAGGTAAGGAACATGTCATGATCCCGAGTGTATAAAAAGACAGTTTTCTTACAGCTGGCTAGCAGTGTCAATTTTCGGAGTCTTTTCGCTCCTGTCCTCCGCTGCACGGCTCTTGCAGGCATCATGGCAGCTTCCAGTGCAGATACAGGTGACGAACACGCCTCTCAACCTCCCCAGTCTCGCGCCATGTCGGTCTCTACTTTAGTAGAAGACCCCGACAATGGCCAGCACGCCACATCTCTCTCAGCATTGCGGCGCCTCCCCAATCCCTTCTCCGTAGCCGCTTCGGCTTTTGGTGTAAGCCTTTATCACGCTCAACCTAATCTAGGTTCGTGCTGACAAGTTTTAGGCCATGTTCCACCCTTCAGAAAGAGCCTCTCCTTTTATGGATCAACGCTTCATTGACAACCTCCCTCTACGTGAACGCGAGCCAGCGGGGTTCATTCCACATGATGGCAGCTTTCAACCGCATGGACAGGTGGCGGTGGCTGATGATGAGACTGTGCTGGCTTACACCGTGCCTGAGGCGGCGGATCAGATGGATCGAGAAAGAAACCATGGATACTTCCAGCTGATGCAAGGTCGTCCGCCAAATGCCTCTGATGGCTGCCAAGGTGCCCAGGCTGAAGAAATCAAAACATGCCCGCTGTTTTCCAATCATGTTCAGAAGGCGTTGAGAAACGGAATCATTGGAGTCTCTGATCCCAACAACACTGCCTTCCCCCAATATGGGCTCCTGGGCATGCGTGAGCAAACCTACAATTCAAGTGTGCCAGATACAGCTGGGACTTTGTCACTCGATGACGATCTTGTCTTCGCCAACATGAATGCACCTTGGTCAGCTTTCATATGCGGCTCGCAGGGCGCCGGGAAGAGTCATTCACTCTCTTGCCTTCTTGAGAACTCGCTCCTGGCTTCATCTTCAGCGGGAGAGAACCTGAGGCCTCTCGCCGGCCTCGTGTTTCACTATGACAAGTTCACAAGCAGTGAGAGCACTCAGTTGTGCGAAGCGGCGTATCTATGCTCATCGGGAATCCCTGTGCGAATTCTTGTGTCGCCGAGCAACATTCATGCAATGCACCGACTGTATAGAAACCTCCCTGGTCTGCCTAAAGACGCCCCACGTCCAGAAGTCATTCCACTCTACTTTCAAGAAAATCAACTCAATGTCACACGCTTAATGACGTTGATGGCGATCGACGACCAGGGCAAGATACCACTCTACATGGAAGTCCTTTTCAAGGTGCTCCGCGACATGACGGTTGAGAGGAAGGGTGCAGGGGGCGTGGACTACCTTGATTTCAAAGACCGATTGCTGGGTAAAGACCTCAGTTCCCAACAAAGCGGACCGTTGAGACTGCGCCTGGAAATGCTCGAGTCTTTCCTTGCGGACAAGGACCAGCCGGCGCAGGCCATGGCCCTTCTGAAGGACATGTTCAAGTCAGCTCAAGGGTCACTCACCATCATCGATTTAAGCTGCCCTTTTGTCAATGAGAACGATGCGTGTACCCTTTTCACGATTTGTCTGTCAATCTTCATGGAGAATCGCGGTGACTGTGGTCGAATCATCGCCCTTGATGAAGCTCATAAGGTGGGCCATGATATCTTTTATTTCGTATCTACTAACTATCTTACCTTTTGCAGTTCCTTACGAGATCGGGAGAGGCTGAAAAGCTCACGGATGAATTGACATCCATTGTCCGTCAACAACGCCACCTCGCTTCGCGCGTTATCGTGTCGACGCAAGAACCGACACTGGCGCCACGGTTCATCGATCTCTGCAATGTCTGCATCGTTCACCGATTCAATTCGCCGGCTTGGTTTGACATGCTCCAAGGCCACCTTGCTGGTGCCAGCCGCCACAAGGAATGGAGCAATACGACGTTGTTCGAGATGATAGTTGGCTTAGAGACTGGCGAAGCTCTGATATTCTGCCCTGCAGCATTGTTTGATGTGTACAATGGCAACGTACGCCGATTGAAAGACGCATTCATCAGAGTCCGCATCAGAAATCGGGTGACCGCTGATGGTGGGAAGAGCATCTTGGCTTCCGACAAGATGAAAGATATGGAGCCTGGAGAACTTCTGATTGAAGACTTAATTCGACCATTCGCAATGCGCGCTGTGCATGGTGTCCCCACTATACCTGCTATGCCCGCTCTGCCGACAGGCCTGTCGGTCAAACAAGCCAAAAAAGCTCAACGTCGTGCGGTCAAGGCGGGACGGGTAACGAAGAGTCAGACTCCCCTATCTCGCCCTGACAACTTGAGCAAGGGTCTTGCATATAGGCGAGCACGAGGCCAACAACCAAAGGAAATACAGGGTCCGACAGAGGGTTCGACGCACATTTCTGCGCAAGGACCGACTCAATATGCAGTCCTGCGGTCTGCCCAAGGGTTGGAGGAAGATCGAGAGCAAGGTGGAGCGTTCTGTGCAACGCCTCCCACTGATCCAGATGATCTGTTTGCCCCTACCTCTTCTTTTGTTCCCTTGGCTAGTACATTGCATTCTGCCAGGACTCCCAGTTTCCATGACCTTTTGCCATACTTGCGCAACGCCGTCTCAGAGTCTCTACGTAAGGACCCCACAGGCATTGCATTTGGCAAAGTACGTAGCCAAGCAGCGCGCTCTGCAGGCCTCCCCGAAGGATTCTTCTCAGCCTCCCCGTGGAAGGCCTGGTCCAGAAGGGTGATTAATGAGCAGGTGGTAAGTGGAGTCTGCTTTCGGTGCAGTTGGCTACCGTTCACTTACCTAAAATGATCAGGCCAAGCATGCTGAGGCTTATGGGATACCATTGCCATTGCGCCATTAGCTTGTTTTATGGAATGGTACGGCCACAGTAAGCAACTACTCGTCAGTCTCACCTTTGTTGAAGCCAAGGGATACTCTTCGAATCTTTGTGCATGTATAAGTAGGAGTGGTCTCTTGTCGGGAGGGAAGAAGCGGAGGTGTGGAACTGGAGCAAGTGGCTCGAAGGAGGGACAATATTGGGTCTTTACACCTGAATTAGCCGTGTTGCCGATGAATGGAGTAGTCGCTCGAAATCCTCTTATTGCAGCCGGGCTTCACAGACACCTCCCTCAGATATCGGCAGCACATTTTACGGAGTACACAGCATGTGCATATGTTGTTGGTCGCGGGTAGTCACCACAAAAGGAATAGCATTACAAGCTTGAAGAAAAGCACTTTTCAGTTCCACTATTCGCCTTATTCGCGGCGTGTTTCGTAGGAGATATGCTGATGAGGTCCTCAAGATTTTCCAGAGAGCCAACAATCAGATTCTACCTCTCGGAATCTCGCGGTTGGCCCTGCGGCCTCAAACTTGATCCAAGATTGCATTTCTACAATATCCCCCTTACTCGGTACATGTACACCTTTGCGGAACCCAGCTCATCTCATTTTCGTCGTATGACAGAAGGACTGTTACCGTACCCAGTAGATGCAAGATCCCCCAAAAAACTTGGCCCGTGTCAAGGGTACCTGTACATTTAAGAGACGGAAACAATGAACATCATCCAACATCCCAGCCATCTCAATCGGCCTGTTCCGCGCTGTGAGAGGTACGACGTAGAGAGAACTTAGTGCTCATCCTTGTCCTTGTACTAAGATTAGTTCTTATCCTCATACTTGTTTGCATCCTCGTCCTCGTCCTCGTGTATCTATGTACACTTATCTGGATCGAGCAACCCTTGCAAAGACTTTTTTGGAGGTCGGGGCGCAATCTACCCCGTATTTTCCTCCTTTCTCCCAGGTACAACTAACAGGGCGAGACAAGGCGAGGCTAGCTTTAGTTTAGGAGAAATTGCGGACAAGGGCGTCAAGCACCACAGAAGATCAAGGGGGTGGGAAAAGGGGGGGGACTGGTCTATCACGTGTCAGGCTGGTTTACGTTTGGCCAATCTGTAATAAGGCGAGAGTGCGAATAATATTAATTAATATCTCTGTCTTTTTCTTCCCTTTTTGGACACCTGTGTTATTTTTCCCAGAAGCTAGATTCGGAGGGAAGGAGCTACATACATGTACTCCGTACCTACTTGCGTTTCTTTGCGGCAAGTTACTCCAGAGTCCGGACCCGCACATATATGACCGGATATGACTCTGGAGCGCGTGTGACTCTCTCTGTGTGTCCCCCTTTCTCTCCATTGATGGATCAGATTATGTAGATGGAATCGTGGTAGCCGTGCGCCGGCATGATGTCAGATAGACAGGACGGAAAGACCGCCCTTTGCCGACCCGACGGTGGAAAAGGGAGATATACCTATACATATTTGTTACACAGTACAGGGAAAAGGGGCATGGCACACCACACCACAACACGCCATGCCACACGCGATGGGTCCATTGCTCTGTGGGTCAGGAGATTGACAAGGCTTGATTGATTGCGTTGTGTAACCGGGACCGTGGATGATATGATACAAAGATAAGAACCTGGAACCACGGTGGCAATTTTAAAATTCGAACGTCCTGCGTGGCATGCGTGCCCTGCCATGCGTTTCACTGAAATTTCCTCTTTCTTGGGTTTTGTTCGGGCAAAGCTTGTCTGTCTAGCGAGTCAGGCTACCAGGCCGAGGTTTATATGTAACAAGAACTGGTAGCGTGCCCTGGTTGGCCGAGTCTCCCTAGGCGCATCCAGAGCCTTGTTTGCAATTTTGTTTTTGTTCACAGCCTGTTCTCGCTTTGCACCGGTGGTCTTGTTGCTCATCCGGGCGCGGGGGTCTGTTGGAACCTGGGACTTGGAACGGGAAAAGAAGACAGTGGATGCCAGGTTCCGAGGGACGCGAGAGTCAATACCAAAGAGCGCGATTGGAGATGGGAGACATGTTTCATTGGAATTGATTGCATCATACTCCGTACACCAGGAACTCTTCGCTTCAAAAATTAATAGCAGGCAAGAGATGCTGAAAATACAAGGCGCTGCTCCATTATGGATGCACGTGCACCCCTCAAAAGTTACATTGTCATCTGTCATAACCACACTCTCTCCATGGTATCAAAAAAAAAAAAAAATCTCCAATTTTCCTGAACGAAGCCGTAATTATATATATGTTGCGTACAACATGGTTATACACAGGGGTCTCATGTTGATTTGGGATGCAGTTTGCCTTTCTTCTTGAGCTTGCTATAGATGATGCCGTTGCCTTCAGCATATTCGGTGGGCACCTTTGGCCAATTGTCAACGCCATCGAGCATAGCGACTGCCATACCGCCAGCCACGTGTGTTTGGACATGGCAATGGAAAAGGAACGCGCCGGGGTTCGTAACTTGATAACGCAGCACCATCCAGGTGCTGTTGACTTCATTGGGGGTGGTCGTGTACTGTGGCAGAAATGTTAGTTTGGGCTAGCACCGTTCAGAGAACAAAAACTTACGCCGTCGCGAAGAGGAGGGTTTGCGAAGTTGAATGTGCCAGCTGGCAGCGCAGCGGCCGCTTCCGCAACAGTGTTCCACGTCCAATTTCCAATTCCCTTGCCTAGAACATAGGCCTTGTTGGAATGTTTATGCATAGGATGAGGTTGGGCAAGGGGGCCCTGCGTTTTGATAATCAAGTCGACCCATTGACCACTGTTTGTCTTGAGGATGAGATCGCTGGCTTGGACATTAGCTGGATCTTCAAAAAGAAGAGGAGTCTGATCTTCCAGCTCTGGGGCGAAGGCGTTGACACCACTGAGGGTCCATTGGTACGCGCCGGCCGGTTGCCCGAGCTTCTTGATGTTCATTTGGTACGTGACATCAGCAGTGGGCGCAGGTGCCGAAGGGGGATAAGGAGAAGCGAGGTTGTCGTTGAAGGTCACGAGGGTGGTCAAATTAACTCCAGCAAAGTTCATGGCGGCAAGCGCGTTGGGATCCTCGGACGCGGGACCAACTGAACCCTTGTAATTCAGAACAGCGAAGCCGCTGAGAACTTGATTGAGACCGTTGTTGGCCACTCGGATGGAATACTGGGCGGGAGGCTGGTTGAGCTCGATCAGAACCGAGTATCGGTCGCCGTTGTTGACGACGACTTGATCCACCAGTTTTGGAGTAATGTAGCCACCATCCACCCCATACACCCACATCTTGTGTCCGTCGATGGTGAACTTAAGCAGCTCGTATCCACCCGGGTTGATGAAGGTCAAAGCCGCAAAGCCCTTGGCAGGGTCGACGTCAAATGAAGCCATGGGCCCAGTTGACGGATTGCAAGTGAAATAAGCATCCGATGGAAGAGTGTCAATGTTAAAGGTGAAGTTGCCCTGGGTAGCTGGCAGATTGGGTGGCAGGCAGCCTTTGTCGGTGATTTGAGCAGGGCTAACTGAAGCCAGCAGAGCCGTGACTTTGGGATTGGTGTAGGCCGTCAACTCGTCGCGGCTCAAGCAGTACTGTGAGCCCATACCGTTAATGATGATGGCATCGGAGCAAGCAAAGTCGATGTTGGCATTCGCTTCCTGCTCGTGAAGCTCCTGAGAGGTGTACCTGTTGTAATCGGAGATGAAGACCGGCTGCAGCTCATCATCCGCTGCCGACATTAATTTGATGAAGGCTGGATCGTTATTGATCAGAGAGAATGGTTTATCATCTTCAGATGCTGGAGAAATGATGATGGCGCCGTATAGTCCATCCATCATCTGAGAGCGAGAGTGTGAGTGATAGAAGTAGACTCCGGCTGCATCGGCGGTCCATTTGTATAGGTACGATGAGCCAGGTGCAATAGCTCGTTGCGAAAGACCTGGAACGCCATCTGACCATGGAGTGCCTTGTTGAACAATGCCGTGGAAATGAATCGTAGTTGGGTCGGGGAGTTCATTGTGAACGAGGAATTCCACTGATTGGCCGACTTTCATCTTCAAAGCTGGTCCTGGGAAAGTGCCATTGGTGAGGACCATCTTTTTGGGTATCCCTCCAATGGGTGAATAATCTTCCCATGTGAGGGTGACCTCGAAGTGGACGGTGTCGTCGGCTCTTGCATTAAGTGACCTCGATCTCGATGAGGGGGCAGCGGCACTGAGAAAAGCGAAGGACAGGAAGGAGAGCACGGCAATGAGCCGTGGAAAAGCCATTGTGGCAACAAAAATGCAATACAAGAAACGAAATCGAACAAACAACGAGAGTAAATCCCTTGTACAGAGTACAGGGAACGGGTGCTTTTAGAATGAAGTGAGAACAATATAATAGAAAGCATTTGGGCCAGAGGGAGAGGTTGGGGAGAGTATAATATAAAGCATGGGTCGATTGAGTTCACCCTCCTAGCCCCGTCCGTGGATGGCTGCAGCCGTCCAGATGATACAGTGGCTCGTGATAGGAAGCCGGGGATTTAGGACGCCACGATGAGCTGGAAGCAGTGACCAGCCTCGATACTGGAGGTTCACTCTCTCACATCGATTAGCGTCTTAGCAGTGGCATTGATTCTGGGGCTGACCAGGGTACGGAGGATACCTGCAGGACATTGGCACACCACCTCAGTAGGCCTTACCGGTTTTCGGTATCGTGTGGGCCGTTAGCATGTCAATTGAAACGAGCGCGCCAGATCTGGACAAGCCGCGAGGGAACATAGCCTTCGCAGCCAGTCGAGGCTGGTACATACTGGTACATATCGCTTTGGGCGAGAGTCTTCCTCGTAGCGGTCTAGAGCCGATAGCATTGTGACTCGAGTCGTGAGGCTCGGCGTAATATTTTCGATGATTTGAATGATGGGACGAGTCATCCTGGCAAAAGGAGGAAAGTCACTATTGGATAATCAGGGACAAGTTGTCACCGCGCGAAAGCTGAGTTCTGGTGCTGCAGCAGCCAAGAAGACAGCTGAAGGTTGGCAAGTTGGTTGGAAGTGCGCAGGAGCGG